GCAAATCCGATTTGACGAGCTTTTCAGTATCAGGTTCACCTTCCGAACCTTTGCTCTTGAGTTCATCAAAAGCAATCCACATATCCTTCAAAAGCGTCTCCAGAGTACCAATCTCTGACTTGGTTGGTCCTTCAGCTTCCAGTCGAGCAGAAAGCTCAGCGATCGCTTCCTTTGTCTCGTGGACGATGACTTCGAGGCTACCCAGCTGCTCTGCCTTAGCGATTTCGTCAGGGGCAGGAAATTTCAACTCATCAAGCTGGGATTTCGTGTTTCGCAGTAGCGTTTCAATGGCGTCTGTATCCTCCTTCTTCGCTGTTGAGTCATCCACGGGATTTTCCCGAGCTACAATACCGGCTACGGAGCTTTGGAGTTCGTGTAGGCCCGCGATTACCTCGTCCAGATGCTCCTTTTTCAGGGCATCTTCTGACGGTTCCGGTGCACGTGGAGCAGACTCTATGGCCTCGACCTTGACCTGTAGTTGGGAGATGAGAGTTTTGAGGGCTTCGATGTCGCTGCTGATATTCGACTCATTTGCGAGCATCAGTTCCCCGCCTCTGGTAGTTTCGGGCTCCCCCGACTCATCCTGTGACTGACGCAATGATTCCACATCTGCCTTCAGGCTGCTGAGACCTTCTTTCAGAGTATCGAGAAGTTCGGAATGATCAAACTGCACAGGCCTATGGAGAAGCTTGGACAGGTCATCCCGAATCGTAGCCACGCCATCATTGACAACCTCAATGACTTCACCGGTTGAAAATGACACACCGTCACCGGTGTCTTTGGGTTGGTTGCTCTCCTCACGAAACGCTTCGAGGCTTTCACGGATTGCCGTGACGATCTCGTCCTTGTCAGACTTTGGCTGTGCGGGAACAAGACTCATGGTCATAGTCTCACGAATGCTATCGAACTCTTCCTTGATGACTTTGGTGATGTCGTCTGTGCTTGGGGTCTTTTGGCTTTCCGAGACATCGCGAATGGCATCGAGAATCTCATCTTTGTCGCTGGAGACATTGGTACGAATAAGGAGAGAGCTCAAGGTTTGCCGAAGGTGCTCGAATTCTTTCTCCATAGCATCAAGAAGTTCTGGAGTGTCCGGATTACCCCCTCGGCTGTTGGTTAGGGCAGCATCCGCGATGGTCTTTTCCATGTCGGCGTGGAGCAAGCGGAATCCTTCCTTGACCGTATCCATGATTTCATGTTTTCCGGAAGCTTCCACGGCAGCTGCAGCGTATCCTTCGACCTCTTGTTTCACAACAGCTATGCCGTCCTTGATAGCTTCGAGCACCTGCTCGGTGTCTTTCTCGCCGGCAGGAGCGTGTTGTTTGACATCTTCTTTCATTTCCTGAACGAGCTCCTGGAAACGTTCCAATGCCTGCTCCCCAGCGTTGAGATTCACGGAGCTCAAGGCCTCTTGAAGACCGGCCGAGATTGCCTCCATCAAATCCTCCTTATTGAGCTCAATCTCCCTGATCATCGAGTTCTGGTTCTCCAGGCCCTCAGCAATTGCGGCCAAGATTTCTTCCCGCGAGATATCTGGCTCAACGTTCGTGCTAACGGCTGAGTGATGGGCAGCAAACGCATCATTGATCGCGTTGACAACATCGTCCTTGGTGATGTGGATTGGCTCCGTCTCTTTGGCCGCGTTGAAATGGGTCTCCAGCCCCTCCGACAGGGCAGTCAATATTTCGTCGCGACCAAGACCCGAATCTAAACTTTCTCTGGTCAGAGCGCTTTGGGAGGCAAATGATTCGGTGACTGCCTGCAGTATCTCGTCCCGTACAGCAGCCAGATGATCGTGACGAAGGTACCGATCAGCAGTCTGCTGAGAATGTTCTTCGAGACATTCGCGGATAGTTCGGGCGATTTCGTCTTTTGTAACAGTTGGAGGTTGCTCAAAACTCTGAACTCCAGCCTGGACAGCGGCCAAAACTTGATCGTATGTCACGGCTTGTTCATGCTGCGGCTGGTATGCTTTGAGCCCTTCGCTCAAGCACTCCAGAATCTCGTCACGTTCAAGACCAAAATTCTGAAGTTCAATTTCGGGCTTGTACGTTTCCCAAGCTTCCCTGACAGTTTCGAGTATCTCGTCTTTCTGAAGTCCTGGTTCCTGAGGGGGCTGCGACATGGCATGCTCTTCCATAACTCTCTTGACAATGGAGTAGATCTCGGTGCCATCCATCGCTGATCGAAACTCCGACAACGCTGAGGCATGTTGTTTATGCTCATTCATGATGTGTGATAGTTGGTTCTTCAGCTCTTGAAGACTGTGCTCGACGATGGTACCGATCTCTTCTTTGCTGGGCGGCTTGGGTTCGTCGTCCCCTGCAGAGCGAATATTCTCTATTTCCTCAAGTTTTCGGGCAAGGTCTCGTCCCATGCCCAATACTTGACCTCGCAATTCCCGGACCAGCGCTTTGACTTCGTTGGTCATTCCACCGCCTTCAATGACACTGGTCTTTACGCGCTGCATTATTGCCAACATCTCCTCCGCGACGGAATTGTCTAGCTGCTGCTTTGGGCGCTCGGCGACGGGACCACTCTCATTCTGGATGATTTCCATGTCGGGTGCATATGCTTGCTCGGGGTCCACAGCCTTGGAATTAGTAGCATGGGAACTGGCGCCCCTCTGTGGCGGGACAGCGCTTGAGCGGACCAAGGCTTTGCTTTCGGAGCCCTCTTTCACCAAATTGAGGATTTCTTCCAGCATCTTTACGATAGTGCTGTCCGATTGCTTGTCAGAAGAGTCTTCCAAGGGCTGTGATTTGATCTCATCGACCAGATCCAGGAGCTTCTCTTGGCCTTCCTTGGTGGCCATTTCTCGCAGGACTTTCTCCAGCAATGCTATGCTGGCTGATCCATCAGATATGGGAGTGGGGGAGGCGCATAGTTCACGTTCCATTGCTGCAGCGAAGGGGTTAGGACTGGGCATCCGTGGCGCAGAAAAACTCTTCCTCGAAGAACGAGGAGAACTATCCGAGTCCCTGTTGTTAATATTCTGGTCAGAACCTAGGAGAGAACTGAAATCCCACCTTGTGGTAGCATCAGGGTCTAGGAGCTTTGCAGCCAAACTTGAGGACAGATCGCGGAGACTTTTCCGTATATCTTCGTCTCGAGCGTTGGTGGCGGCTTTGAGACTTATCAAGTCCGTGGCATTGTCTTTGCTTCGTCGGCTCAATTGAGCCATCTCACGTTGGAGATTGCTGGCAATGTCCGTGAGACTGATGATTTGGGTTGATAGGGTTTCGAGACTGTGGACGCTTGGACGCTTCGGCGTTGTAAAAGGATCGGATTCGCTATGCTTAGGCTGAGGTTCGCCCTCATCAGGCAGCTGCATGTTCTGAAGAGCCAACATCGTGGCAGAAGGGGGGGTGCTCTCTCCGAGAATAGGTTTGGAGAGGTACCGATTTGAGATTAGAAGGTTTGGGGCATCCTTGTCTGAATCTCTGTCTGAGGCACTGGTTGACTTCGTTGGGCTCTTTTCCTCCGGTCGAGTTGTGGAGTCCATAATTGAGGCCCGTAGAGGTCTTTCCGGTGACCTGCTCTCCAGGTAATTTAGAAATTCAGACCGGGTGTCTGCATTCTGCAATGATTGCATCCGCTTGTGAAATTGCCCTTTGATGAGTGACTTTTCTGGCGAAGATTTCGATGGCATTGGGTTCGTTGTGTATGGGCTAGGTACGTTTTCTCTGATCTTCTCCGCGAAATTCGCTGCCACCGCTTGGATATTTGGTGAGACATTGCCTTTCGTCGCAGGACTGGTAGAACTTGGGTTCAATGGCAGCGGTGGAGGTGCCCGTTCGGGATCCGAGCTGTCCCACCTTCATTACCACAATATTAGCTGTCGATTTCAAAACAATTTGCCTTGCACTTTCAAAAGAGTGACTTACATAGGCACCGACTGGTGTCTGAGAACCAGCTCCCGGTCACGGGAAGCATCACGAGTATGAGACGACGGCATAGCGTAACCTCCAAAGATGACTTATGATAAGTGGGTTGAGTGAGTTGAGTGGGTATCTTCGTTGATAGTTGCAGGAAATAAGATGTGTATCAGAATGAGAATTTCTCGGAATGCGCGAAAAGATGATCGTCAAAATTAAGGTCGTAAGGGCATATCAAATCGTAAGAACAATGAGCAGGAAATCAAAGAAGCAAGTTCAAAATCAATAACTGCGCTTGCTGCAGGAAGTACGGAAAGAGCAGGGTGAACAATGAAGACAAAGGACAATGCAACGGGCGATGGGCTGAAGGCACGCAGAGGAGGAACTCTACTCTAATCTAGGTACCTTTTGAGGAGAAGGCAATCAATCACTTTTAAGTAGCAGAATAAGGAAAACATGGAAGTGGAGTTGGCGCTGGTGCTGAGAAACAACGGTAGCTCATGGGGCATCGATCGCATCCCGGCCCAATCTGCGCTGTACACATCGAAGCTCCGTTGCCTCGCTTCATAGCAACCAGCGCCTTTGCCGTTGTCTAGTAAACAAAGGATGACGACGGTCGATCTGCCGGCGGTGAGAGGTTTGTCCGGGAAGAGCGGGAGCTAGTCCCTTTGGAGAAATATACCCAAAGCAGTCTAGCTGCGGCTGGTCGGTAAGCTGGCCAATGGGATCGGGTCACACAATTGTCATTTTGCCCTGAGCCCTCCCGTGCACTACTCACAAGCGAAAAAAAGAACGTCGAACGCGGGAGACTCTCGATAACACGACCGAAGCACAATCGACAACAACCCCATCGACCTTGCGCTGCCGCTCACCATGAAGTGTTAGTTGAATGCCATCTTGTCTCGAGTTCTCAATCAGTCGAATATCAGATCATACTGACAGGATGGTGAAATAGTCATGAAAGTGGGCCGTGTGGCCATCATCACCCGTGGCCGTTACGCCGGTAAGAAGGTACGACAAGATTCTTTTCCTACGTGTTCTAGCGGGAAAATCGGATGAGGGATCTGGCTCGAGACGTTTCGATTGTCGATTGAGAGGAAGAGAGGAAGATGTTCTGGACGAATGGGGGACGAATATCGATTCGGCTTGGGAGCAAGATTGGACATTGAGAAGGATGTGCTGACAAGGGCCGTTTTCGCAAAACCACAGGTCGTCATTGTCCAGCCTAACGATACTGGCTCCAAGGCGCACCCCTTCCCCTACGCCATCGTCGCCGGTATCGAGCGCTACCCTCTCAAGGTCACCCGCCGCATGGGAAAGAAGACGGTCGAGAAGCGCAGCCGCATCAAGCCTTTCATCAAGGTCGTCAACTACAACCACTTGATGCCCACCCGTTACACTCTTGAGCTTGAGGGTCTCAAGGGTGCCGTCAGCCAGGAGACCTTCAAGGAAGTCTCCACACGCGAGGACGCCAAGAAGACCGTCAAGAAGGCCCTCGAGGACAGATACACCAGCGGCAAGAACAGATGGTTCTTCACTCCTCTGCGTATGTGCAATCCTCGTGTATTCCCAACTTGCAGCGAGGTGGATTTGTGCTGATTATTGGTTTCTACACAGGTTTCTAAACGGGGTATTTTGGGGCGTTTTGTCGTTTGAGCGCGCAAGGTTCTAGATGAGGCAAACAGAGGGAAGAAAAACGGGGCATCGAGTACATTCGGTTCATGAGCATGGCATTAAACGAAAGAAGTATACCATAGCTGGATGCGGAACTTGGAATGTATCGATGCACAGGTCCAAGACTTGGCCATGTTTCTTTTATGAGGGCGGCCATCAAGAACTGGCGCCCGTCCTGAAATGAAAATATGAACAAATTCAATTCTCTTCTGTTATCTCAATGTCTCAGTTCTTGAGCATAACCATTGCATTTCTCGGTTCATTACAACAGGTTTACTAACAAATTCCAATTTGCTTCCCGCTGCGAACGAAGATTGTTCTGCTCGACTCGGCTTCATGTGTCAGCAATGGTCCTCCCAAGTTTCTACATTCCGAATTCCCGCGCCAGACCCTGACGATCTATCAGCCCAAATATTGATCAAGCCTCGTCAACCTTAGTACAATCAAGCACTCGGTCAATTTCTCGAGATTTCTACAGGCTACAGCTCGGCAAATCGATTTCCGTATCAGTTGCCACGCCTCGGAAAAAAGAGTAGAGATCAGCTCCAAGATCCGAGGATACAGCTACCTTGCCGCTCAATAACAGTAGGCGCATGCCGTTCGAAGGATATGATCTGTGGCACAGAGCTCTGTGTCGAACTTTTTCGATGCATGCGACGATCTGCGCATTTCACTTGTCCAGGGACGATTCCTACGGCTGTATTTGGCGGTCTCTAACCCATGTCGAAGTCTTTCCGAGTCCATGCAAACTAAGCTGCGATGGTTACATTATTATAACCCCTGTCGAGTAACTTTGCTCTTGTTGCGATGATCATCCAAGGTCGTCTAGTGTTGCGCACGGGGTCCACCTGGGAGATTTGATCTCGTATGTTAGTCAGTTGGGTGATTTTCGAGAGTATGGCTTCACCTACAGCCATGCCATGTCACCATATTTGAGGCAGTACTCACCGGAACGACATACCTGTAACGCAAGAATATTGTTCAGTAGTTTCTATGTACATAATGGATGAAATCGTTTTAAGGCTCGCCACTCGACCTTTTGTCGATGTGTGTCGCTTGCGCATGGCTGGCCAAATATATAGAACGATTGGCCAGGAAATATACAAGGGCTCCGCAAGGTTCGTGTGAAGTATGCCTTTGATCTCGAGTACCATGAATTAACTCAATTGAAACTTTGACTATGGTCGCCAATACTACCCGCAAGCTTAGATAGGCCATGCAATACTCCGTAGATTTCTGAACCGTGGCCCAAGCATTTGCGGCTACTGGACTGTTAATGGCTCAATGCGTATGCGCCGGAGCAAACGCTAATGGTTTAAGAGCAACGCCAGGAAATGTTTCTATAGAATCGGTTATGGCCGGGGAGGCGCAACAAAAGTACGGAGCACATCGACAGCATTTTATTTTCTCAAGCATTCATTTCGATGGACCGAGTGGACGCAACAGGAAATGCTGACAGACGCTCAGGCCGACCGATGAATCGAGCTAAAAGAAATTTGCAGACGGGAAGAATCAATTGTCTTGCAGGGTAAATCGGATCAGGCATAACGAATCACTGTCCTTCTCCTCGCAGAGAATTCGTTGGAAGCAGAGGGCGCTTCATGATTCATGGACGAGAACTTGAGGGGACGCAAAGAAACCCGTTGTCTTCTGTTGGTTGCTGATAAGCTCTTCGCATACCCTGGCTCAATGAAGAATGATAGTGAATTATGCATAACCATGATTACGCAGAAGTAATGTGATGCTGTTTGATCCTTAGACTACGTACTCCATGCTCTGTAGGTAGATATCTCCCGGCAACATTTGGTAGCTTTATTGGGAAACTTGATATAGCACTACTGGGCCTCATAGCATGATAGCCCAGCCTTTGTGATCGACCCACTATCACATGCTGTCAACCATCAAACCTTGAGCACTGTCCTTCAATCGGGCCATTACACGTAACTTAAAAAAAAGACAGTTGATATCATTTCTTTGGCAGATGCTATTGATATGCAACATATGGATGAGAGGGTCCCAATTCCCATCTTGAACCTTTTTTCGAATGTCTAAAGTTCCAAGCGCCTTTGCCACACTCCGGAAGCCTGGAGTACTGATAACGCGATTCCGATTCACCATACAAGGCCAAGGCACAGAAACTGGTATTGCTAGGTTTTTTATCATGTTTCAGTGCTCATATGGATGAATGGCAGGCTTAATGCTTCGGCCCAATAATTCGATCCATAGAAAAGCAAAAGCGGGTGCCCGAGAGGACTGAACGTCGAGGACCCCCTGGCCGGAACGTTTCTCGCATAGTGTTTGCCCTCCCCTGTCAAATTAGATGCAGATTATCGGGTTGAGGGAGACGAATGATTTATGATGAATTCTCGGGTTCGGACTTCTACTCGACAGAAAGCTACCGGGGTTCCAGGCCCTCTTCCGATGATACGATGATGACGGTAGGAGCGTTGGTAATGAGGTTATACGGAGTACACTTTCACCAACAGGAGCCCCTCCTTGGCACCTGCTTTCAGCAAACAGGGCCCGCTATCACATGCAAACTCAAGCTCCTACTGCTGCATGAGGAAAATAGTATAGAATAGGCGAAGAAATCGAAAGGGAAGCTACATACTACAACGCCTATCTACCATGCCATGACTGATTCGAGTATCGAGCGATGGCAAATACTAACTCTATAAATACACTTTTCTTCTCATCTAGCCTAGACTGATTGACTGACATGTGCTGAAGCTCCCATTCCCGCTCCTCTGTTCTATATAGTCACCTCATCCTTTTTGCACTCTTATCTCTCCCAAACTTCCCTCAAGAACCTACCGTTATCTCTCCCTCGTCCCTGCGGTTCAAACCTAACTTCTTACTTCGTGACCTCCCTCAGTCGATCTAATCTCACATCAAGGACACCACAGCTCACTTCGCAGAGGTATGCTGTATCCCATCACATCTACCATCCTCTTTTTGCTAAGTTAGATTTCTATTATAATAGACTCTATGCCTCACGCAGAGAACGGAACAATGGGTGAGCCTTCTATCAACGGCGAGAAGGTCCATTCCCACTTCCTCGACGTGAGTTACCTCGAGATGCCTGCTTGATTGCCTGACAGTTGTCCGTGTAACATGTTATTGATCACAATGCGCCGTAGCACCTTACCTCGTACCCTGTCGTTTCAGACTCGATCACCGTCTTCAAGAGCAACAAATATGGTGCCAAGTCCTTGGAGTATGCCGATCAAGGCTACGTCCGCATTGCCAAACCGTTACTTCCCTACCTGTCGAAGCCCTACGGTTACGTTGCGCCGTATGTTGCTCGAGTAGATAGCCTTGGAGATCAGGGATTGACCAAGCTTGACACGTCATTCCCCATCATCAAGGAGGATACAGATAAGATAAAAGGAACGATCTACGATACAGCCTTCTTCCCCATGCGTCTCGCTGGTGATGTGAAAAGCCATATCTTCGAGACTTTTGGATCGGAATACAAGAAGTGCGGCGGCGACGGAATGGTTGCAAGCGGCAAGGCTGCCATCAGCACGAGCCTGATCCTGTCTCAAGAATCGTTGGCATATATCAGCTCGTTCCTTCAAAAGAAGAAAGCTCAGGCGAAGGAGGCCGTCAATGACAAACCCAATTAAGCGATGTGTCGTGGCGATACAGGATTACTCTACTTCTGCATCCTTCTCTTCTTCCTGGATTGTGGTCTCCTTTCGCCAGCATTTGTTTCCTTTTCTGTCTGTGAGAGACAAAATGCTTTTCTTCAATTCGTTGTCCTTACATTACTCTGCTTCGCATTTGGATACACCCGGTGGGATTGCTTGTTTCAGTCGCAATTAGATATTTATATATTCTGATGAACACTATCAACACTCGAAAGCTAATCTAAAGCATAAGCGCCTGCTCGTACCGCGGTGCTCATGCCAAGGCATTGCAGTTTTCCTCGTCAATTTCCACGGACGAAGCTCAATAAATACATACGTCACTGTGGGATGTATCTACACTGATTCTAGGCCAACGGACACATGAAGTCAGCACGACTGTATTAGAACTCAAGGCAGCATATCAATCGATCAACATGAATAATATCTTTAAGCCTTCTTTTTCTTTCTTCCATCTCTTTTTTCCTCTTTTCAATGGGCGCTTGCATGTGATTTCATCATGTAGATAGTGGAAGCCAAGACAACGGAACACTATTGTTCTTACCCGAAGCGGTCCCACTATCAAATTGACGGCGCGTCAAGCGCGTCTGGCCATATCTTCCCAATGTCAGGGAAACTGCCTAATTACGCTCAAAGCGATGATATGACTTACTGACTGGTACGCCGAGAAACATTTACGTCTCTATCGCTGTTGATCAATCTTTTACTTCTGCACCGTCGCCATGCCTCTAGTTCGCAAACGCCGAGCTGTGAGTCGCTCGTCACACTTTATGATCAATCCGTTGCCAGACTAAACCAAAGCCCACATGTAGGAACAACAGCTCGAATCCGCCAGTGAAGACGAAATGTCAACTCCGGTCGCAGGCCCAGTACCTACAGATAACGCTCGTCGCCGTCTCAGACGCACGCCAGACTCGGAAAGCGACGACGATGACGGCCCGCGCGACGCTCGCGCCCCGAGTTCTATGGATGTGATGGTTAAGAAGCTGGTCCGGCTAGCTCTGGCGAGCGAACTCTCGCGGCAACCGATCCGCCGAACAGATATAAGCACAAAGGTCTTGGGGGAACAGGGGTCACGCCAATTCAAGATGGTCTTCGAGATGGCGCAGAAGACATTACGAGAGACGTTCGGGATGCAATTGGCCGAGTTGCCGGGGAAGGAGAAGGTGACTATTCAACAACGAAGAGGTACGTGGCATTGGATACAAGGACAGCTCGATGACGAGGATTTTCTGAACCCCAAGTAGCTGCGCAAAAAGTCGACAGGCCCTCGTCCACAAACAAGTCCTGGATTCTCACGAGTACTCTTCCTCTTGCGTATAGAAGCCCCGAGATCCTCCCACCGACCAAAGCGCCCCTTGAAGGTACCTATACAGGGCTGTATTCCTTCATCATTGCCGTGATCCTGCTCAATGGTGGTTCCTTGCCGGAGCAGAAACTCGAGCGCTACCTCAAGCGTACCAATGCTGATACGTATACGCCTATCGATCGTACGGACCGGTTTCTCCAGCGTCTATGTAAGGAGGGATATCTCATCCGCAATCGGGAGATGGACGGCGGAGAAGAAATCATCGAGTACATGGTCGGGCCGCGGGGCAAGGTCGAAATTGGTGTTCAGGGAGTGGCCGGGTTGGTACGGGAAGTCTACGGTCGCCAGGGCGCTGTTGAAGGGGACAATCCCACGCCTGCGGAGCGAGCGCAGATGGAGGAATTCGAGTCGCGGCTGGCTCGGAGTCTAGGTATCAGGCGGCCTGGGGCTCGGATGGCCGATAATCGAGACGAGAACGGAGATGACGAAGATGGGGAGGCATCAGGGCGAAGTCGAAGACGTCGTGGTGCTGGCTCCGATGACGAGGCAAACGACGACAGTGATGATTAGATTATGAGTGGCTCCGAGTTTGATCCTATTGTTTGTTGTGACCATTGTTATCTATGATAAATATGATACCCTTAGTTGACTGTTTAACTAAACGAAATAAGAGGTTATAGTGTCTATATACTCTACTGTGGATCGCAGTTTGTAGAAACAACTTCAACCGACAGATATATATTCGATATGTTGACACCATTCGGCACAGCGCTCATTGAGCGCATCCGCCTTGCTAGCCAAATGACCTGCGCCAATGTCTTCTTACTGGTGTTGTCATTTGTTTTCCCATATTCCATTATACTCAGCTTACATAGTCAGAGGATACCACATTCCCATCGATATGGCTAGAGGAAGAATACCTTGAAATGAAATCCTATGTACTGTGATCTATGCTCTACAATACATCAAAACAGCTGCATCTAGTAACAACACGAATGAGAACGCTCAACAGTATACAGTTCGAATAATCTATTGAGCCAAAAATGTATAGGAGAGATACAGTCATAAGGTCGTATACCCGGAAAAGAAACAAGGAAGGGGCTCGCACAATCGTCAGCCATCGCCGTCAATGATCTATCTGCCCTACTCGCTGTCACTGGCACTATCATGTACCGACCCATTATCCCCATCGTCCCGGAGACCCTCGGCGAGAATATATTCAGCCTGCTGCAGAGTGGATTTGATTTCTTGGTTGTTGTAGACCAGCTCAATGGGCTTCTGGCCGTGCTTGTTCCGTACGCGCGGATCGCAGCCCGCTTCGCACATCATTCTGATCATTTCGAGACCGAGCTCGGGATCCTTTTCGTTGGCGAAGCGGACGGCGCTGTGGAGGGGGGTGTCTTTGTCGAGGCGGGTGAGGGGGTCGCATTCGAAGTATTGGATGTCGAAGAGGGAGTCCATTGTATCGTCTGCCAAGGCAGATTAGTAGGCTGTATTGAGACCGGAATGAGGGGTTCGTGTGGACCTACAGCTTCCGTACATCGCACAGATGTGCAGAGCATGGTTCCCCAACGCGTCTGTCACGCCGTTGAAAAACTCCGCGACCTCTTCGTTCGATTTATCGTTCATTGTCTCCAGGACCTGCTCGATCAGGTGAGGCTGGTCTCGTCGGCATGCCTCGACGACCAGTTCGCGGGGTGATGCGCCCTATCTGGTCAATTCCTTAGCTCACGATAGCTGGAAACATCACTCACTTCGTCCGCCATTTTGCTGAGTACGGAATAAAGATTGTTTTGTAAAAATGTCCCGTACCAATGACCACGATTTCAGATTTTGGATTATCCGTCTCACAAAATGTTGCGGTGTGGTCTGTGGTATTATGCGGGGTAGAATTGGAAGCTGTATGAAATAGGAGGTTATTACGGAGATCGGAGCAACCACAGATCAGAACAAGAAGTAAATGAGAAATTATAATCTACAAGCTCTTTCTTGAAATTCTAGAGGCCTAATGAAATCTATATAAGGTCATTATCTAGCCATGGAAGATTGAAGTTCCCTAAGATTTCCAGTTCTGCTGTTCTTTATCTGTTTAGTGATACTGTGTACATCAACTCAGGTACCTTATCCAGAGACTACAAGGTGCTGCCTGATAACCGCTCGGATGATCTATTGCGCCGTTCCGCTGCATGTGCCCCGCGTCCAATCGGCGGCTGTCATTATCAATTGCATACAGCCGCGCGGCAAAAGACTAAATTCCTCTCCGCCAACGACGGTGTTGCTTGATGAAGGCATAATCGTGACGCAGCTGCTCGTTCATTGTGAAGACCCGAGGGCCCTGCTGTGAAATTGTTCGCGCAGCAGCAGGACATTCTACATTACTCGCCTGAAACTTAACATCAACCGATTGTCTGATTCCTAGCGAAAGGCTTCAAAATGTTGACATGTGAGTTAATCACCCCGCCAGCTTGATAGCATCGGTAGAAGGATATAGAGACTGACTTAAGCTATTCTCCTTGCCAGTTTGCCCCAACTGCGGCAATTCTCTGACCATTTCACGCGGCGAGCCAACGCGAGAGTATCCCCTCGGCGTCAACCGATTCGAGTGCCGGACATGTCCCTATCAGCATCTGCTGAAGCATGGTAGACAGGAGAAGACCACCATGAAACAAAAGGAGGTGGAAGACGTCTTCGGCGGCAAGGAAGAGTTTGCGAACGCCGACAGCATGGCCAGTAAGTGCTTGATGGTTGGGAGATGAGTTTCGAGCTTTGCAGTGGAGGCTAACACGGATGGTTTTGTTCTGCCTTACAGCTCAGTGCCCCGCCGAAGACTGCAATGGCGATCGTGCATATTTCTTCCAGCTGCAGATTCGGAGTGCGGATGAGCCTATGACTACATTCCTTAAGGTGAGTGCTTTCGTTCCGGCAGTCATGCTTGCACCTGCATCATGCGGCAGTGCTAACTGAACATGATAGTGTACTACATGCGGTGCGCGGTGGAGAGAAAATTGATCACCGTCATCGAGTGATGGTGACGATGGCAATATTTGTGCTAAGCGCACTGCTCGATTGAGTCATACGCTGACAACAAGGCGAATATGGAGCAAGGAAAAGGCGCTAATTTTGTTTTTTTGTTGTTGTTTATGGTGCTTGCAGCATTTGGATGGTTCGTTGTTCACATAGACTAGAGCTTCAGAGATACCCCTCATTGTCGATTATCTACACGTGTAGCTGTTGATTGTCTAGTCTCTCGACTATGGTCGGATTAGCCGCACCTTTTTTTTTACTTTCTTACTCTTGTTCTCCAATTCTTACCGCCTCTCTCATTCTTAGCAGCCACACATGATCATCAAATCTGGATTGGCCACAACCATGGTAGCTTCGTGTGATCTGCCAAATTTCAAGTGACTCAAAGAGGGCCATTTTGGGAGTCCGACAAGTCTAATTCAGTCCAACCAACTAGCTGATGAGGGGTATCTACACAAGGCCGTGATTCGAAAAAGTCGGCGGCAACAATCCAGCCTCCCCAGCAACGGATCGATAGTGGCGAGGTAAAAAATTTCTTCTTTTCTTCCTGATTAGTATGATATGTAGAACTGTAGATACGTAGGCTCTTTTTTTTGCCATGTCGACCTTACAGTGAAAATCCTAATTGTGGATCAAAGAGGGGCGCCACTCGGCCGGGCCACCGTGTGCTGCTCATTAGCGGACAAATAGAGACCACGAGCTGCCGCGGGGTTCTGTTACAAACATGGAAATCAAGCCCCTCGCTCGTAGTAGACTATATACTGCGTCGTAGTGTGTGGTACGTTGTTGTAGTAGAGAGACAGGTTGTACCGAACCACCCTGCGTTGATGCCCAGTTTTTCAGTCCGACAATCCACTGTGGACATTGGGAAATAGGTAGATACTGTGTTGACTGTACAGAGAAGAAAAATTTTCTTGCTCCCCTCCTTTCTTTGCTTGTGTTTGCGAGAGAAAAAAAAAGATTGTGGGTCCAAACTCGGAGCGCCGAAAGGGCATGAACCAAGGAAAAGTAGGATCTCCCACCAAACAACTGCGCGAAAAAATCTGAGCGAAACAGCCCAACAGACTGTCACTCCGCCGCCTGTGAAGATTTTGCGCTGGTCCCGCACCATCAGAGTGGGGCAATTACCCCTCCATGCCCAATGATAAGAGCGGCTGGCCAAGGGTTTGAGCCCGCCGCTTAGTCGTTTCTCGCTTGCCCCTCCATATAAGGATTTCCCCTCCTCCCCTCCCACAGAATTTTTCTTCTCTTCCCTCTTCGTCCGCTTCAGTACGTATATCTTCCCCCTTTCTCCTATTCCGTCCTCTTCTTCCTTTCATCTTCTCATCTAACATTTTTTGCTCAGTACCTCTACGCATACTAGCCGTAGTACCTGAGCAATTTCCACAGAACTTCTCTAGTATCTTACAAAGAACTACAAGGTTCAAACCTAACCGTCAAAATGGGGTGAGTGCAAAATTCTCTTTCGGGTCGGTCGGTCGTCAAACTGAGTTGGCTAACCTCATATCTTCTTTACAGTAAGGAAGAAAAGACTCACATCAACATCGTCGTTATCGGCCACGTCGATTCCGGCAAGTCGACCACCACCGGTCACATGATCTACAAGTGCGGTGGTATCGACCAGCGTACCATTGAGAAGTTCGAGAAGGAAGCCGCCGAACTCGGCAAGGGTTCCTTCAAGTACGCCTGGGTTCTTGACAAGCTCAAGTCCGAGCGTGAGCGTGGTATCACCATCGACATTGCCCTCTGGAAGTTCCAGACTCCCAAGTATGAGGTCACCGTCATTGGTAAGCTTCGCCCACCTCTTCCCATGCGTTCTGGTGCTGTAGCTAAGACAATCTCCAGATGCCCCCGGTCACCGTGACTTCATCAAGAACATGATCACTGGTACCTCCCAGGCTGACTGCGCTATCCTCATCATTGCCTCCGGTACTGGTGAGTTCGAGGCTGGTATCTCCAAGGATGGCCAGACCCGTGAGCACGCTCTGCTCGCTTTCACCCTCGGTGTCAAGCAGCTCATCGTTGCCCTCAACAAGATGGACACCTGCAAGTGGTCTGAGGATCGTTACAACGAAATTGTCAAGGAAACCTCCAACTTCATCAAGAAGGTCGGCTACAACCCCAAGGCCGTTCCCTTCGTCCCCATCTCCGGCTTCAACGGTGACAACATGCTTGAGCCCTCCACCAACTGCCCCTGGTACAAGGGATGGGAGAAGGAGACCAAGGCCGGCAAGGTCACTGGTAAGACCCTCATTGAGGCCATCGACGCCATTGAGCCTCCCGTCCGTCCCTCCAACAAGCCCCTCCGTCTTCCCCTCCAGGATGTCTACAAGATCTCTGGTATCGGAACGGTCCCCGTCGGCCGTGTCGAGACCGGTGTTATCAAGCCCGGTATGGTCGTCACCTTCGCCCCCGCCAACGTCACCACTGAAGTCAAGTCCGTCGAGATGCACCACCAGCAGCTCGCCGAGGGTGTCCCCGGTGACAACGTCGGTTTCAACGTCAAGAACGTTTCCGTCAAGGAAGTCCGCCGTGGTAACGTCTGCGGTGACTCCAAGAACGACCCCCCTCTGGGTGCTGCCTCCTTCAACGCCCAGGTCATCGTCCTCAACCACCCCGGTCAGGTCGGCGCTGGTTACGCCCCCGTCCTCGACTGCCACACTGCCCACATTGCTTGCAAGTTCGCTGAGCTGCTTGAGAAGATTGACCGCCGTACCGGAAAGTCTGTTGAGAACAACCCCAAGTTCATCAAGTCCGGTGATGCCGCCATCGTCAAGATGATTCCTTCCAAGCCCATGTGTGTCGAGTCTTTCACCGACTACCCCCCTCTCGGTCGTTTCGCCGTCCGTGATATGCGCCAGACTGTTGCGGTACTTAATCGATCTCTTTCCCCCATTCTGAAGATTTGAAGCTGACAAGTTTATAGGTTGGTGTCGTTAAGTCGGTCGAGAAGTCCGCCGGTGGTGCCGGTAAGGTCACCAAGGCCGCCCAGAAGGCCACCAAGAAATAGAGGACTTGAAGTGAAAACTTTTGCTTGAACAATCTTCTATGAGATGTCATGAAATGACCTTTTTACGATTAAAATGGAATTAGAGTGAATTCATTTTCATGTCTCGCAAATCTTGAAGCCGTAGTGTAGCTATTCCTCCGTCGAGTATATGTGGGGTACCGTCCTGGCCACACTCTGTAAATTACCCTTTGTAAGCTATTTCTGTCATGGGTTGGTATGAAGGTGGTATGGCCATATCTAGTATATATGCAGCCAACCTTCGACAACCACCATGTGAAGTCTTGAATACAATACCAGAGCTGTATCTTAATTGGATTTGTCTTAGGCCAATAGATGGCATTTGAACAGGTTATTACTGGACCATTAATTCCATCCAGTTTCCTTCATCTGAACCGCTTCGAATCGACCTGGTAACTCGCACATCCTTAAGGTCGAAAAGTCTCCGAGCCCAAACAGTGGCGGCAGTAAGGAGGGTCAACGACTGAGGATATAACTGTACTGATTTAAAGCAAATATTGTCAAATTATGGGCTGGGATCTGATCAAAATCTTGGTTTCAGTATCAGATCGAATGCTTGCTTTAATGACTTTACCATGCGCAAGATACTAAGGCTCAATAGCTAAGTCTCTTTTTGATTCAATCTGGTAATCTGAGTATTTCTGTCGGCACATCTCTTTGCATCCTTTGGTACTTTCTTAGGCTTTGGAGCTATCTTAGCCCGTCTAACCCTTGCCTGGGCTGTTCGACGGCCCTCTCGATAGCTTTTTGCTCGGGAGTCTTGGCTTCTTCCTTAGCCTTTATCTTCTCTGCATTGTCAATCCTGTACTTTTGCTTGTATCCGAGCTTTCTCCCTATTCGACTTTTCAGCCCGGAGTCTTCTCATTCGCTTCCGGCTCATTTCTCTCTTTTTGGCTTTCTCTTCATCTGTCATTTCAGCTCGTCTTTTCTTATCATATTGACGAATTTTCATCAATCGCTCTTCCCTCTCTGCCTCAGTCTCGGGTGGTTCAGGCGATCAAGACGCGGGCGCAAAACATCTGGAAATACCGACTTTGGCCACCGGCAGGGTTATATCGGGCCATTTGGGGGTTTCCACAGGGGAATCGATGGGTAGTGAGGGCAGTGCTGGTTATGCAAGTATATGAGGTAGTTTCATGTTTACAAACATCTTCTGTCCTCAGAAGCAATACAGTGTTCCTTTACAATGGGAGTCTCATCCACTGGTCCCCTTTTTTTTGCGTCACGTTCTTTTTTGCCTTCCATCTTTGCTTCCTCCTTGGCCCCCAACTTGGTTTTCGGAGCTGGCGTCATGTTATCCTTTGTATTCTCCATTTTAAGTCTTTGAGCTCGAGAACGGCCCATGCCAGTCTGGTGTTGTGTGTATATGATTATTGAGTACTTGACGATATGGAGAGATGATGAAGAGCGCGATAATCCTGTAACCAGGCACACCTTCTCGCCTTTGCTTCAGGTGTCTCTTTGTTAGCCCTTGGTTTCTGGAGCTGGATCCTGCCTACTTGAGTCCTTTGAGACTCCAGTAGGCAGGAATGGGAGCATGCTCCCATCCATTCGAATACTGTGAATGGTATCCCATATGGACATGCATCTTGAAGGATAGATGGTACCCCCATCATGTATGCGCCAAGCATAGAGAAATGTCTAGACTGATAAGGGGAGTCGTTGTGTGATTCGGGCTCGTTCTTGATTGTGACATGTTTGTCAAAATTGAGTTCTCTGGAATCGGTTTTGATATTAGTGCCAGGAGTAGTCTCAGCCCCAAATAGTATGCACATTTTGAACCTTTGCCGTTCCAAATGCAATTTGCACAAGCACCTCTGAAGAGGGCCCGCTTGTTCGCGCTGGGAGGGGAGTACTCAGGGGAGATGACACACAGACGGAAGGTTCCAGCGTTTCCGTTGCATTGATCACAGGGTTCATCACACACCATCCCTCTTTGGTAAAGAATCACTGCGTTCTGATGGCTATTGTTTTTGATCAATTTGGGCGCGACATTACCGGACTTATTGAAAGACCACTCTACGTCTCGCATGACGTCCAAGTGAGTGACACATGATCACTCGGTTCGAGTTAAGGAAAACACAGCCTCTTGTGAATTTTTCAGTATGATTGTCATCACTAATCGTCGACAGTCTGAGCTAACTCAAAGAACTAAGGTGAAGGTATGTCCTTTAATACTATCCCATGCTTCTGATTAGATTTAAAGTGTCTAACCATAGCCACAGCGAGCTGAACTTCTGCAGTGGCAAGTCGACCTTCCGCATCAGCAAGTTGAGCTCCATTCTTCTCCGTAGTGGCTTGTTCAACTTCAGTGTTTAGCTTTCGATACTCCTTTCTGGCTTGACTGACTCTCATCTGCAAGTTGGCCTTCTTTTTCTGAAGTGGATTGGTAGCTCGCAAGATCTTCCGTTGGTCGTTCCGTACCTTGTTCTTCGCAGGGATAATGTGCTTTGGCTTGGGCGGTTTGAGCGAAGCCCGCTTAGCCTGGTACCCTCTTTGTTGTTTCTTTTTATGAGCTCGCCTCGCCACCTTGATATGTTTTGGCAGTGAAGCTTCATGTTTCTTGATTCTGTCACGATAAAGACGGCGGCATTCTCTGGCACACTCTCTGTTTCTAGCTTGATACCGTGCTTCCGCCTCTTCTGACTCGCGATACTTGGTACGTAACCGCCTCCTGGCAAGTCTCCTTCGTGGCCGGAGCAATTGTACTCGAAGATCTCTGTCTTCAGGTGTCTCCGTACCAGTTGCCTTGATGATTTCATCAAGAGCAGCATTGCTAACAGTCCAGTGGTCATGGTCCCCTTCTGTGAGACATGTATGCGAACAGGCACCGTGCCAATTAAAGATAGAAGTTGGAAATCCAAATGGGCAGGCATCCTGGAGTTCATAGGAGACTCTTGACATATATCCACCAAGTAAGCTGCAGTAGATTGCTTCAGCCAGTACACATACTCTCCGGTTATGGTTGACAACTTCACTGCTTAAGTCTTGGGTCATCTGAAAAAGGGTACCAAACTTCACGATCGGCTTAGGTTGCCTAAGTAGCAAGTTTCGGTTATCTTTCGGCAAGCAGCCGAGAAGATAAAAAGGGAGACGCCTGGCGAGTATCAAAGATAAGATTCGAAGGAAATCCAAATGCTCAAGTATAGGCTGTTCAGCTCAAGTTGCCCCTCTGATGGTTGCACCCGGATAGCCCTGGAGAGCAGTGAATAAGCCCATTGGTATTAAGGCCTGGTGGATCATAGTGTTCATATCATGGGCCGCTGCACTGTGTGGCTTTGAAGGCATAGTGACCAGGAGAAGCTGTTCATTAGTATCAAATGAAGTGCAAAATTTTGCGATAGAAGTGTCTTCGTTTTGAGGATCGAAAATGTTTTCGATGGTCTCTTTGCTTGTATGAAAGAGGAGGAATTCGCTTGTATCAGTCGAGGCTTCGAAGCGAGCGGATTCAGATTGGAGGATGTCTAAGAATTGCGGCTTTCCATGGTATGTGTATCTCTTGATTAAAGGGGGCAGATCCTTGAGGAAGCTGCCATCAAGATCAAGGTCGTAGTCAACCTTAATGAAGTGTAAGTTGATATCCGATAGAAAGGAGATGCAGATTGCTCAAGGCTTGAGGGGTTATTAAACCCTCAGAATCTCCCTCGCTTTGATAGGTAGTCTTGCATCTAGTAATGTCTTTAAAGAAATTCACACTCACTTAGCATAATAAAATTTATGTGAATAATATGTACAGCTCTATGAATCCAGCAGAGAAGGGCCAGAAGGTAATAGAAACAGAATTAAATACATTATTGTAGATAGGTGAATGATATTTTAATGAATAAATAAATTAATAGCAAGGCAGTACTTTAGAGTTCAGAGTAAATTAATAAGGAGTATGATTAAAATAGAATTAGAGTGAATTCATTTTTCATCTCACACATTTTCTGAAGCCGTAGTGTAGCTATTCAGATATTTCTGTTGAGTAAGGTATGTAGATGGGGTACAGGCCCAGTCACCCTCTATAAATTACCCTGATTCTTATAAATTATATTGGTCCTCAGGCATCTAAAGTTGATGTTATGGCAAGTATTTGTGAGGCTTCTTATGTATCTTCACTCAAGACAAGATGCTGTCTTAAGGTTGTCTTTTCAATAATCTCTATCATATTTTAAGTTCTGCTAATGTAACTACATCAACTAGTAACTAATCCATTAATGACCAATGCCTAGAGCACACTTGTCTTGTTCTATAGTCTCCTTACCTCCACTTGGTTATTGACTATCTAAGGTACCACTTCAAAGTTGACCTACAATCAGCGAACTATGAATATCTAAACAAATCACGGCGAATACTTTATGTCATGCTATAACAGATGGGAAAAATAACAATCTATTTCTAATTATTCATGTCACCCTCTATTGCAGCCAGTGTGTAGATTGCACACAGCCACCTAAGGTCAGTGGTCCCTTATTTGGAGGACCAGAGCACCGACCTAGGTTTTGATATACGCGGTGTTGTGCATGTCACATTCTAGATATCGATATTGTATGATCGAGGATTGATGGCCATGCAATCGTCTCCACCTTGGTACACAAAATTGGTGAGTTTAAATGTTCACAGCATCCATGGTATCTGCCAACTCAAGTCAGCTGGGGACATTCAACTGACTGCAGTAAACGAACAGAATCCATCCGAATTCTGCACCTAATTGTAGCCGTACGGCGCATATACTGACGTCGCATTGCAATAGATGTTGTTGAATGGCATGCTCGTGCCGTTCATGACGTTTAGACTCCAGAGTTCTCGACATTGACCCCAGAGACATTCCAGAAGACGAACGGCATCGGCCTCCCAGGTTGTGTGACGCCCTTTTCTGCGGTATACCATGTATTGCCGTTGCCCTCGATGCCTCCGGTACCGTATCCGTCGATGGTGATGTTGTGTCCGCTGATAATGAAGCCTGCATGATGGCCCTGGAAGGCAACAGGGTTGGAGTCCTTGCGCCAGTAGTCGAGATTATTAGAGATCTGTAGTAGCACGAGAGATATACGAGTAGGCTGATGAGAGGCAGACAACAGAAGAACTTACTGTCCACTTTCCTCTCCATTGTATCGCGACATCATTCAGAACAGGATTTAGTCTCGTTCTAATCCAGTGAGACGATTGTCCCTCCATTTCCGCATTCTTTGAAAGTCTTCAGAGAATTTGGCACATCATCCTTCTGTTTTCCATTTGCTTTGATCGTACAGACATTGTTTTGTTTATCATTTTCAATACATGACAGTGTTTCTGGTCACAAATGAGTCTATCAAGGCTCAGATCCAGGATGTGAGCTCGGAAATTGGCTTCCAGCCTACCTGGTCGAACTTGCGGGCCTACGAGGGCTACTTCCACTCGAACGACGGACTACTCAATCGAATCTGGTACAGCGGTGCCTATACACTTCAAACCAACTCGGTCCCAATCAACACCGGTCTTCAAGTCCCAATGCTGCATAATGGATGGGCCAATAATGCAAGTCTGGGCCCTGGAGATACTATCATTGTCGACGGGGCCAAAAAGGGATCGTGCGGTTTGGCCTGATGACATGGGAATTGCTGTTCCTTCGGCTTTTGTCAGTACAGGCGACGTGGAGAGTGTTAAGGATGCTCTCCAGGTCATGTACAACACCCAAGTAAGCTCTATATCTAAATTCTAAGCACGCAGGAGTCGAGCTGAGTCGAAATAGAATACAGTGACAGGTGCTTTTGACGAATCAGGGCCACCACTCAGTCAGAAGAACTCAGATACATAGGTACCATATATGGACGATGATCGGAACCTACAATTCGTGCTGTTCTCCAACGATACCGATTTCCTTTCAACCAACTGGGAGAGATATCAAGCCGCTATGGACTTCATCTATGGGAAGATGGATAACTTGTCAGGATTATTGATTGTCGCCGGCACCCGCGATTGGGCTCGATGGCAGCAGGGATATAAAAACTCAGAAGCGCAGATGATGTGAGTGACTCAATACGTCTCTGTTGCTACACTCTAACAACACTAGAATATACCATACACTGAAGACAGGGGCACAGCTGGCTGCTTGGACAGATAGCACGAGTTCTCTCGCAGAAAATCTCAAGAAGGCTATCGATCAGTACTGCTGGGGCGATGCATATGGGGCGTTCAAGGACAATGCGACGGTCACGAGTCTTCATCCCCAGGACGCAATAGCATGGCATTGCTTTTCGGCATTGTCGATCAGACACGCGCTGCAAGTATCTCGGAGAGGCTGACGGGTAATTGGACGCCAATCGGTGCAGTTGCGCCTGAGCTTCCCGAGAATATCTCGCTATTCATTTCGTCGTTTGAGATCCAAGGTCATTTTGTTGCCGGCCAGCCCACCAGAGCGCTCGAGCTCATTCGGCGAAGCTGGGGCTGGTATCTCAACAATCCCAACAGCACGGAAAGCACTGTCATTGAGGGTACCTCACCGACGGCACCTTTGGCTATAGATCTAGTCGCGGTTACTCATACGATGCCTCCTATGTCTCGCATGCATATGGTGGTTTGCAGGGCCGACGTCTGCCCTGACCAACTACGTCGTCGGCCTTTCCATTACATCGCCTGGAGGGATGACTTGGAAGATTGCGCCGCAATTTGGCGATCTCAAGTCTGCCGAGGGGGGATTTGCAACATTGCTGGGTAAGTACAAGGCGTCCTGGAAGAGAGACCGAAAGGGATACACGTTGCAATTCTCAGTCCCTCAAGGGACAATGGGAAACCTCACCTTGCCATTTGTGACGAGTCCAAAGAAGCCTTCCATCAAGATTGATGGAAATGACATCAGAAGGGGGTTGGTATATGGAAATGGAACTGCAACCATCACAGTGATTGGAGGAGGATCACACCATGTAGTTGTTGTCACTACTCTATGGGATACACATAACAATGAAGTTCTCTCCAACTATACCTTTGTATATCTATCATAGTACTTTAATACTTGTAGACAAAGCGTGTGCCCCCTATCCTAAAGTTCCAGCCGTCATGATGCTCACTTTCTCATATCAACCTGCCACCTTTGTGAAAGAGGAAGGCTCAACCCAGAAGGGGGCCATATCACAGTCAACCATGAACCCCTCGCGGGTCCTCGATTAGTCGTCGTGATGCGCTGTGTTTGTCCTTCACTGACTTTTCTTCTTCTTCTTGTTTATTTTTCTTTTCTTGTGTTGTTCCCCCTTACACCACTTCCTTTCTTTCATGCTTATCCGGAGATTTTGCGGTTTGACTCGAAGCAAAGAGTGCTGTTTCCATCCGAGAATCAGTCAGGTACCATATCCCCAGCCCATCAATCACATCAGTGTTATGTCTGACAAAGTCTGCTATTTCGCGTAGCTCTGCTGGCTTGGTTTCCTTTGCTGAACTCTCCTGGCTTTTTCTCGCTGCTACTCCAGCGTGACTCTCAGCCATGGAGGCCATCTATCACTTCGATCAGATGTCCATAGACGAAACCGTCCCAGCTGCACCAGCGGAAGCACCAGCAGAAGCATCAGCAGAGATCCGTCCTTGTGCTTACTGCACCGAGGATATCGAAGGCGAACCAGTAAGACCTTGCAAAGGATGCGAGTGTTATTGCTGTGGCGACTGTATCCGACAAATCTTCCTCATGGCGTGCAAGGACGAGGCCCAGATGCCGCCGCGCTGCTGCGATCCCATCCCGCTGGCTGTTGCACGCAGATTTCTTTCTGATGAGGAGATTTATTTGTACAAGTCGAAGTTCGAGGAGTGGAGAACAGTCAACCGCTGCTACTGCCCCGTTCCCACCTGCTCCGCCTTCATCCCCCCCAGCTACATACTGGCAGAATGGAGGGTCCTCGTGGCTTCTAGCGGCTTTTATAGGCAGTTGGCGGCCAGCGGGGCTACACCGTCTCTTCCCGTGAGCCCGTTGTACATCTCGTTTCCCGTGCTGTGCCCGAAGTGCTCTGCCCAGGTCTGTTGGAAATGCAAGAAGCTGTACCACCACGGCTCTACGTGTCAGGTGTCAGATATTGACCCTGAACTGGCGCGGACCTTGGAAAAATTGGGTATTAAACGATGCCCTAAGTGCCGTGCTGCAGTCCGCAGGATGTTTGGCTGTCGTCACATGCAGTGCCGTTGCGGTGCACAATGGTGCTGGTACTGTAGCCGGGGTATCGAGGTCTGCAAGGCGAATATTTGCGCGCAAGGACGGGCGGCTGAGATGCAGGTTCGTGATGACAACGCTGAGGAGATCGCCACTCAAGTTGACGAGGGAGACGGTGGAGAAGAGGAAGAGGAAGACGCTGAAGGTGGCTCTGACGACGAGGGATATTGGGACCGTTTTGGTGGCTGGAGATCTGACCCAGATGAGACCGACGATGAGCAAGACGACCAAGCAGAGGACGAGTATGATGATGACGACGATCAAGCGCCTGAGATGTCGCTCGCTAGAGCAGTCGAACACGACGTGTTTGCTGATGAGGCCGGTAGCGATGTCGATCTGGACGCTGGATCTGACTGGGACGATGCTTCGGACTACTTCGGGACCGAGCCGGACGGTTCCAGGCTTGATCCTAATGACTGCAATCATGATTTCGCCGCAATCATCGATAATTCCGAAGTCGAGAACCCAGAGTATGTGTACGAATGTGAAAATTGCTGGCGCAGAATCTATCCGAGAGAGACCTTGCTCCCGAGTTACCTCTGGGAAGAGATTCGATCCCAAGACGCTTCGCCCACTGCACAGCTGATTGCTTCGATGAACGTTGTGGAGCGCTCGGACGCACAGATGTATCTATGCAGGAATTGCAAGTTCAGGATCTGTGGCACCTGTCGCGCTGGTTATGGAAACTTTGAGTTCTGATATGGGCGAAGGTCTGCAATGACTTGGGCTTGTCCGCTCACCTGCGATTTCTGGATGGACTGTGAGACCTGGTTACGGAGGGGGCACGCGAATCTATCAGTCATCTTTTGTACGAGTAGTTTCTTTGATAGGAATTCAATATTGATAGTTCAGTATGGTTTCTATGCGCACTTGGGCTTAAGAGCTGTGTTTCAGGGCAGTGAAGATCACGTGTATCCCTGAACCGATCTCCACAGATCATGCCATTCGTCATACCTGGGTGTCCGCCTCCATATATCAACAAAATGGCAGCACCATCTTCGATACAAGGGTCTTTGCCCTGGCGTACTTGTGGCCAGTGTCTCCGTCGCCAGTATCTCCAATCGAATCATCTACGCTCCCCCGGCCGTTTTCTCTCGACCGTCAGTCCGCTCCGCACCGCTGCGAAGAACCCCCTTCGATCTTCAGGAAATGCGCGCACACGTGAGGCAGAAATCGCGCAGTACCGGCGGTCGATGACTCTGTCTGCGGCGGGCATCGCGGCCTGTGCCGTGGCCATGTACGGAGTCATCCAGATGGATCTGTTTGGTCTTTCTCAGCTGGAGGAGACGAAGTCAGCGAAGAACGACAGCAACAACAATGCGAACACGGGAGCGCTAAAGCTGGACGGTCCAGACGGTTTCCCGAGCAGCCCGTCGGTGATTCGCATCCAAGGACAAGACGGTGTCGAGCAGGTCGCTACAGGCACGAGCACCATCCCTCACTTCCCCAGCACCATCCGACTCCCCAAATCCCTCGACGACCCCGCGCTCAAGCCCGGAGAGGACCTCCCTGCCGGTCCTGGTGTTGAAGAGGATGAATACCAGCTCCTGGGCCTGGGAATCCGCACCGTCTCCTTCCTCCAGATCCAGGTGTACGTCGTCGGCCTGTACGTGGCCAAGGCGGACATCTCGGAACTGCAGCAGCGGCTGGTCCGCACGGCGGTGCATCCGCCCGGCCGGGAAAGCGTGATCAGTGATACTCCGGGTTCCACGTCGGCGACGTCGCTGGTCTCGACCGAGCGGGAGGGACTGAAGCAGCTGCTCCTGGATCCGGAGAGGGGCGAGGACGCGTGGACTCAGATCCTCAAGCAGGACGGGCTGCGCACGGCGTTCCGGATCGTGCCAACGCGCAACACGGACTTCTTGCATCTGCGGGACGGCTGGGTGCGGGGCATCACGGCGCGGGCGCAAAGGGCGAACGCAAAGGCTAAGGAGGCCGGTGCTGACGCGGCGGGCGAGTTCCAGGACGAGTCGTTTGGGGCTGCGATGAATGAATTCAAGAGTCTGTTTGGGGGTGGTCAGCGGAAGAATGTTCCGAAGGGGCAGACCTTGCTTCTGGTGCGGAATGCCCGCGGGGAGCTGAATGCGCTGTTCCATCCTGATCCCGCGCAGCCGCTGCGCTTCCTCGGCCGGGTGGCCGATGAGCGTATCAGTCGTCTGGTGTGGTTGAATTATCTGGCCGGGAAGACGGTATCCAGCGAGGGAGCGCGCCAGAGTGTTGTGGATGGCGTGATGGGGATTGTGGAAAGACCGGTTGGGACTGTCGTCCTGAAGGTCGTTTAGTTTTCTGACTCTTGTATTCTGCTGCTAACTGTACTATTGAATCTCCAATCAGGAACCCAATCGTTTACGGATCACACAGTAAACATCATCATCATCATCATCATCTATTCGCAGATCCTAATGTGTAACTCTATCGCTCCTCTATACTATCTACAAAGCACCAGCCTCCTTCAACAGGGCCGGCAACTGCGCAGACTTAGCCTGCAGGTCCGAGTTCCCACCAATATGCTTCTGCCCGATGAAGATATTCGGCACGGTCCGCTGCCGCGTGATTTCGAACAGCGCATTCTGGATTTCGCGTCCATCATCTACACCACAGACTCATCAGCAACCTCTCCTTCCCTTCTGCCGGGGGGAATGCAACGAACCAATCTCATCCAACTCCAGCGCATAGAACTTCGCGCCTAGGTCCTTGAGCGTCTGCTTGCTGGCATGGCAGTAGGGGCAGTAGGATTTCGAGAACACCACTAATGCCACTCGCTCGTTAGCTTGTGCCTGGTCGAGGGAGGAGGAGGAGGAGGGGGGGGGGACGCACCAACGGCATTCTCGTTAATCAGGTTCTGGGCTTTGGTCTTTGCGGCGGACATGGCTGCGGGGGAGGGTCCGGCGAAGGAGCCGAACAGACGGGTGAATATGGAAGCTATGGTGGGCGACTGGTTGGTGGAGTAGTGAAAGGGAGGAGGAGGAGGTGGTTGGTGGGGGTTTATATGCGGTGGAAGAGCGGTTCGTTGACGTTTGTCGCTGGCGCAGATTGGGGATGGGTGAGATTCCCGGTAGCCGATGATGTTATCGGATGGCGAATGCTTAGTAATCGTCCCCGAGTGGCTCATTTCTTCGTTTTTGCTCCGTCGTAGTAGTGTATAAGTTATGACGTTTAACTCAAGGCGTATGAGAAGATTATGGTGGTAGTTGACTAGAATACTAAGTGTGGGAGGAAGAAGTAAGAAATTTATATACCTATATCAAGGAAGAATATAGCTGCGCTGTGCAGGGGTGCAAAGTAGCCAGGGCCTCATCAAGATCTATCGGGTACCGGTGCACGCTCCACTTGTTCGAAAGGAGTGATCCGAGGACTTCCTAAATACTGAGTTCTGCCAAGTGATCGCTACATAATCTGTTTGTCATAGTTTAGATCTAGATGGTGGTTAATAACAGAGGTCTGGTGGTTAATAACAGAGTTTCGCGGAGAAGCAGACACCAACAACGAATAGATAGGAAGTGTCAAGAGCATACCAGCCCACCTAACTCTTTCTCTACGCTGAAGTGTCCCGGACATCACCAAAGAAGATAACTATGATTGTGAGATCGTCTCGATACCTCCTGCTAAGCGGATACGACAGAGTGAGCATGGCTCGCACCATCTGACCATCATGTAGCCGACCGCCTAGCGCATTCCGCAGTAGATGAGTAGCAGCGTTCCGATCTTCCAGCACAAATCTGTCTCCATGGCCCCCGGTGCTTTAGCCCTGTGGAACCCCCGCTGCTGACTATCGTTGGCTCCATTGATGGCACGTACTTCTCCCATTAATGCGCGTCTTCCATCACGGGGTTACTGGGCAATGTCGTCCGGTCATAGCGCCCTATATGAAGACCTGACATCGCAAAGCTGGCCTCGCTGGCTCTCAATCGCTTGTCTACCTCCTCAGAAGACAGTGGGGGCGTTCGAAGACCGCTTTTGAGATCTGTTACGGATGTGATCTTGACACCTGGCACGTCCTCTCTCTGATCTGCAGACTCGACAGGCCATTTTCGCCGTTAATACAAAGTATACGATACCGTTGCGGATATCAGAGCCATCCCACACATGAGTATTGGGGATCGCCAAGAGTAGCCAGTCTCAGTGGGGAATCCGGGTCTAGAATGACCCCCAGTAGAGCACCGCCATGAGGTCCTGAGGCCGAGGGTTAATGTGTTCCAGCTTCTCCATGTTAATGAGGTGGAACGCCATGTTTGGGAGCGGCCGAATATCATCCTTCAAACCTAATCAGTATGATGCTTGCAACCGGAAGCCAAGCTGCATTGAGACCTTGACAGGTCTTTTGAAATTGAGCTTTCTTAAACATAGGTCAGACGGATCATATCATTTGCAGAGAATACATGCAGGTACATGATTTGGACGCATCTGGTGTTGCTTATTTGATACGCTCAAAAGATAGCTAAATGACCTTTCCTTTAAGTGTACTACCTCAAAAGAGAACAAGAGGGTACTGTAGGAGTACTGTCCCGCTAACACCTCCGCCCAGCTTATCTCTCTAGTTAGATACGTGCTTCACATGGAAATGAGCACTACATTTGATATTACACATGCATAGAACTCGAATGCCTTCTATGAATGGGTGAAATTGGATATGACCACGTTTGGATGAGGAATAGTAACACCGGTGGACTCGATGTCAGCCATGACTAACTAGGATATAGATCAGATAAGAAAGGAAATGCTGTCGCTGAAGTATGAAACGGCGAAACGAAACAACAAAACAGCGGGGTATGCAGGTGATCGGTCTAGATCGAGTGTTGAGCAAGGAAAACTGAAGGAGGGTGTGCATATCAAAGTCATCAAGTGACGGGCTCTCGCCTTGGAGTAGCAGTATGCGTACGGAATTGTCGTCGCTCACCTGCAAATTGGGAAGACGTGAAAACACGCCTGCAGGACTGAGGTAAGCACGTCGATGGAAGGTGAAAAGAAATAGAGATTCCCGAACAGGTCTGAGCAAGACACAACACCATCGACCAACCTGACGCTGAATGAACTAGCGAGAAAAAAATGGTAGACAAAATGCAAAAGAGGTCAGACTGAGGTATCTTCCAACGTAAACGTTTCAGAGAAATGACCAGGTTATCGAATCACATAACGACGCAACATCCGCATCCCTTCTCCTTCGGGGGCGGAGGTTGCGCAGTCACCACGGGCGGGTTCCATTTTGGCGTCAACCCCACCTGGGCCGCAGAGGGCATCTCCTGTAGCTTGGGCATGGGGCTGTATCCTGTACTGGAATTCGGCCGCGGGCTTGATGCGGAACTCTTAGGCGAGGCGAGCAGCTGGTCGGTCTTTTCTGCTTGTACCGGCGAGAGGGACTGGTCTTCAGCCTTCTCTGGCTTATCCTTCACTTTCTCCGGGTCTTCCTCCTTGCTGGACACCTGAGGTCGATCGTCAGGCCCGATAGCCAATGGAGCAAACTCCCGATCGTACGTTGTAGGTGTCCGGCCCTCCTTCTCCCATTGTTCCTGCTGCATTCTTCGTGCATGCGTAGGGAGGATCTGCTGGTCGGGAGGGAGTCGAGGATCAGGTTTATACATAGTCGCCAACCATGGGGGATCCCCCTCGGGTCGATTGATCGTCTGGGGCGGCCGGGGTTCGCCTGATCTGGTGGTAGGGCGCTGCGAATTGGTGGAGACGGTCCGATTCCTCGACGCTTTCCGGGTAGTGCTGGGAGGAGCAGAGGTTTTCCGGGTTGCAGAACCTTTGGTCGTTGATCCCCTCTTGGCCGGAGAATTTTGGTTGGTCTGTATGCCGCGACTGTTTGGTCGGCTGCCTGCAGATGGAGTGGCAGAGGAGTCGGAAGGTTCCACCGCGATTGGCTCGCTGGCTCTGCGTGGCTTTCCAAACGACATGATTTCCTCCTCGCCATTCGTGAGCGCCCGCGCACGTTGCATGGGAAACTCCCGTCCCAGGTGCTCAGGTGAAATAGGTGCCGGGCTGGCTGTCGATATGGGTATCCGAGACGAGCTCTTTCGAAGTCCCGGGTTACGATACATACTCGATGCGCTATCTGTCACCTCGTCGGCAGCAATCTCCTCTGGTCTACGAAGATCCCAACACCTGCGCTCCTCTTCCGTCACGTCCCCAGTGCCGTCGCCGGCAAAGGACGTCGGAGAGCTGGCGTGGTTGCGCTGCTCGTCGCGGAAGCTGGGCCATGGCTCCATTGGCTCTGATGCCGTCGGTGCGCCTACCGACCCGCTGAACCCGCTGAACCCGCTGTTGTTGGAGTCGTGGTTTCTCGCCCGGCTGGACTTGCCATTCTCCAGACCAGCCCGACGTTGAAACAGATAGGCCGCCTGTTGCAGCTCCTCGCTTTCAATACGGGCCAGCTTATCGCGGTGGATCCAATTCGCACTGTCTAGTTCACCCTGATACAGTCCCTTCCCATCTTTCTTGTCGCTACCCTTGTGAGGTCCATTTGGTTCAGAATCCCTCACTTTGCTCCCGCTCCGATTCGCCGCTTCATTTCCGTGCAGGTCTCGCGGAAACCCAGTCTCGCTTTCGTGTCGATTCGGGCTATGTTCGCGCCTTCCCCGAGATGCTAGGTAGTTTGCCTCTTGTACGTAGGCATGTCTGGATAGGGATGAGCTTCTGGAGCCTTTGTCTCGGGATCTTCTGTGGGCAGAGTCGCGGGATCGTGACTTGGGACGAGGGTTACTCTATCAGAAAATAATCAGCCATTGTTCTTGCAGATGATGGGCATGTCAGATGTGATGCCGCAACCAACGCCATCAAGCCTCAAACACAAGATACGGCACTCGACAACAGATATAAACACTTACATTTTGCCTCGCGGGAACAGCAAAATCCCATTGTTGCTGATTTGCGTCTACGCTACCAGGCGAGGTCCAGACATCTGCAGAGAACGTTGCGGTGGCTGCCCCCGCCATTCCAGTAGCGATCGAATTTCAATGAAATAATTAAGTAGGTGTCAGAATAGGTCAGACCAGCTGGAACCCGGTAAATAATTCGAGGGGTGCGGTTATGGTGGGGTCTGTCAAACGCAGACCGAATCTCCAGCAATCTGCCCCTCAATCAGGCCATCCCAGGGAACGCACGGGAGCCGACCGGTCGCGGTCAATCGACGAAAGATATCGTTTCAATCGATGAGGCTTTATGAGACGGTATGGACAGCGCTCGTGGTCGTTCGCAGGTGTATTGATTCGGTGTCAGGGGGTGGAAGCTAGGGAGAAGGCCACCGCCCGAAAAGAGTAAAATGTAAATAGGGCAGGAAACGGCAGCAGTATATTTCTTTGGTTCAATCCTCCGCTCGAGTTCGGGATTTCGGTTCGTCGAAACTCGAAAATTGTTCCGCAGCTGGCGTTAGGGAACCGGGGGACTCGGTACCGTGGATAGGCGATGCGTCTTCCCGTTTAGACAGCTCAGGCGGTTTCGGTGCGATCGGTCAAAGCTACCCAGCGACAAGAGGGTATTAGGCAGGTATAGAAAGAGAGGAATGAAAATTAGATTAGCGACGACGGTGTGAGGGGACGAGACCCGTCGAGGGGCGACGAGGAGATGCGAAGATAGAAGAGGGGGAAGAAGGAAAAAGGACGAAAAGGAGTGGTGGATGCTCAGGGTGTGGCTAGACTGTGGCGCCGAGGTAGGATAGCTCCACGCTGTTGCAAGATTAGTTGAAATTTAAAAACCAGGAGCAAAATGCATTAAAGGTGAAAAGAATTGAAGTGAAAAAGAAGAGGGAACTTCAGAAAATAAGGCAAGGGTTGGGATTGACAGCACCAGAGCGACGGAGAAAGGAGAAGAGAGATCACCGAGTTACGGGAGTAAGTAGAGAGAGAGAAAGAGAAAAGCACGAGAGGGAGAGAATGGAGAAAGAAACGGCACGGGACTGGAGGTTTAGCTCGAAGCCTCAACAGCCAATCTCGCAACTAGCTCAACTGCTTCTTGGATAGAGCCTTAGACAGGTTTAGATTAGTGCGTCTAGACTACTTACTATTCAAGGGTTCTTAATTGAAGCATGTAGATAGATATTCTATGGGTACTCAATGTTCTCGGTTCTTTTGTCTCTCCAGCAATCGACTCCATGTCAAGAGCCATCTCATCAGTCCC